ATGGGACTGTTCAGTTGAAGTATATGGTTGGGAATTAGGGATGTATTTACTCCTTCTAGATATGGGGGCTTCCCTGGTGGCTCAGTTGGTAAAGAATCTACCTACAATGCAGGAGATCTGGGTTCGAACCTTGGGTTGGGAAGATCCCGTGGAGAAAGAAATGTCAACCCACTTTAGTATTCTTGCCTGGAGAATCCCATGGACAGAGAAAAGCCTGATGAGCTACAGTCCACGGGGTCGCAAGAGTCAAACATGACTTAGTGACTAAATCAGCACCACCATGACTAGATATGAAGGGATTATGAATGATTTCTTTACTCTTTTCTCAAATATATATTAAAAAAATTATAATACAACTATGGAGGGAAAAACCATACCTAATGCAGCTTGACTAAACCAATAATTTAGTCATTTTTTGGACACTTGTCAAAGTGAAATTTATCTTTAGCACCCTGAAGGAGTGAATGTAACATCCTCCAAACCAAAAATATATCTCTTCACAGGGAGAGCCTTGAGATGGAGGTGTGGCATACTAACAGCACATAAGCACTCATTAACTTAGATCTGTGTAAAGTAATGGATCACTGATAGAAATGTACCCCTCCTTGTCAGGCTGAGCAAGAACAGGGCAGGTGGGAAAGCACATCTGTAGGGAAAGCAGAAGAAAAAAACTGAAGCTAAAAATCCATTAAACAATAGATAGCAATACAATGTAACAATATAAGATATAGAACCTAGCTGGCCCTTCACTGGTCCAGCATTACATGGTGAAGGACAGGGAAGCCTGGCGTGTTGCGGTCCATGGGGTTGCAGAGTCGGACACAACTGAGAGACAGAACAACAACAACAACGTGAGTGAAATCTTCTTTAAAACACAGAGAAACTCTTTAAATTCAAAACCCCTGTTTTAAGCACACTGAATGGGAAACTCCTCTAGTGACTTAAAGCTTTGTCTTTTTGAACTGTGTACCCAGGTCTTGAAAATCACCAGCATGATTAAGATCCTAAGACCCCCTCATCAAACTCAAAAGAGGTGACCAGTAGGCACATAATCAGTGCACTGTAGTGAGAGACCAGAGGGGAAGAATGATTCTGGGATGGGGAGATACACACTTCCCAGTGGTGACTTATAACGGTGGGGGTGAAGGATGAGGAGGGATGGCCTATTGGAAGGAACTAGGAAAAAATGAAAAGACAAGTTGGATTAGATCATAAGTGGTCCTGAAGAACTATCCAAGGGTTGACACCTTCTGTAGGGCTGGAGACACAGCTGCACTTCCTCGGGAAGGGAGTAACACAATTTGATGGCAGTATGGGTCTATGGGGTGCTTCCTCCTTATACTCTGCTGCAATCTAAAGCTTTAGAAATCATGTTTGGAATCAAACAACTTTGAGGCCCCCCTTCAGAACAGAAATCCACAACTTTGTACTATTGTTATTTATTTCTCAGTCCTGTGGTGTGGTTAGGAGCAGTACTCTCTATCCTTCATGTTTGCAGGTGAAGAGAGTTCCTAGGAATAACCCTCCTGGAGTAAGTAACTAATATTTATCACTGGAAGTTGAAATATAAACTATTCTTACTGGGGTTGGAACTAAACTAGAAATCTATGGAAGGCAATTCACAGTTACCATAGTTGGTATTTTTTCTCCTTCCAAGTAGGCTATAATTGGTAAAATAGCATGTATATACTAAAAATTCCAGGGGTAGGCCACTGCAAACTTCTTGTGAAAGAGAAAAAGAAACTATGGAAGTAAGTAAGACCCTGAAGAAATCTATATTGTCCACAGGAATTGAGTGCCTTGGGAAGGGATGTGGCTGCCACCATTTGAAGGTTCGTGCCTAGGCTGGTCTGCCACCTGGTGGGATCTGGCGGACAGTGGAGGGAGATGTTTTAAGAGCTGGATAACCCAGAATCAGTTCAGGCTGTGTCATTTACTTATGGTATAACCAACAGCAGATTACTTAACCTCTCCAAACCTGTAGTGCCCTCTTCTATGTGGCAGGGATAAAAGTATCACAGTGTCATTATGAAAAATAAATGACATGGTATATGTGGTTCAGTTAGCACTGTGCTTGCCACATAGTAAACATTAACAGACACCAATAATAAACATAACTTTCATAGTATTATGAAAGATTAAAGCTTAAAATCTGGGAGGTGTCCCACATGACATTTAAAGTCCCTTCTTACTAAAAGAATCTTAAGTGTTTACATCCTCCATTGATGTCTCATTAGAATTAAGGCTATTCTCTGCCTGAAAAGGCACCCATATACATACACATACACACACACACACACACACACATGTGCATGTGTGCACACATGCACATTTGTGTGCGCATGTCTACTAAAGTATTAGGAAGCAGTTCCAACAAACAGAACATGTATCAAAGATATTACTAGCAATCTGCATAAGTACACATGTACCAGAGGTTTGTGATTAACTCTGCACATAGGAAATGGCAACCCACTCCAGTACTCTTGCCTGGAAAATTCCATGGACGGAGAAGCCCAGTAGGCTACAGTCTATGGGGTCGCAAAGAGTCGGGACACGACTGAGCGACTTCACTTTACTTCACTGCACATATGAGGTCAGTGATTCATGGGGCTTTTCCCCCATAGAAAAATCAATAATGAGGAGGATCTGGAAACAAGTTTTCTCCTCAGCACAATCATCAACAAAGCAAAGTGGTGGAGAAGCACTTTATTCCCATGCCCTACTGATTTAATGACTGGAAACTAGAGTGAAATCAAATATTCTCAACTTGTTCTAATTATTTTCACTTTTATAAGACTTCTATTTTGCAACTAGAATACTAGGTGACTGAGTCAAATTCTTCCACGGCAGCTTTAAACCATTTCTTAGGGCTCTTACTACTCTTCTGGAGGCTCAACCATTTAAGACCATTATCTAGAATTAAATGACAGCTTCAGTTATGTCTAACCAACAAGCATTGTTCCAAGGATTGCTGCAGTTTTCTAGCCTGTGTCTCAGGATGATAAGGCTTAGGCTGGTATAACCGAAAAAGTTAAGACTCAGGTCCCAAACTTGAAGAGTTGCCAATAAGCCAAATATCAATAATTTTAATGATTTACAAACATATGGTATGCTCAAGTATTTTCAAAGAACTTCAAATATATTATCTTACTTGATCTTTATCACAGAACATAGAAGAGGCTTATATTTTTATCTTCACTTGGAAGACAAGGGAAAACTTTGAGTTCAGAGATGCTAAACTCAAGATCCTACAGCTAGTGAATGACAGAGCCAGAACTGGAACCCAAGTTTTTGTCTCAGAATCTAGGACTCAATTGCCCAATACTGTTTGTAAAAGAGACTTATGTGTGCTTACAAAATAGCTATGTAGTTAGAGAATGGCATTCAATAAATATTAATCAATGACCTAAGTTTACTATAATTCAGGATAATATTTTCATGATTAGTTTTATATTTTAATTAAACTTGATAATACATTTTTAACTTATCTGAAAAGATATTAAATAGATACATATTTTATACCACCCTATATACAATACCTAAGTCTACAAATACTACGCTGCTCATTAGCCACTGAAACTACAGTGGATAAATATATCCTTCTGCAAATCTGGCACTGTGCACCCCTCTTCAATTTCCTGTTTTGTGAAAAGATGACCATGATCTGAGTAAAACCTTAAGAACAATAGAGATCACCTATCTCTGTCATTCTGGAGATCAGCAAAGTAAATTAAAGCAGGTAACTCCATAAGTCATCACACAGGCACACATACACACACCCCAAACCCACCCTTTTGCTACAGTACTGCAACAAAACAAGAAAACAGCCTTATTTTGTCATTTTTCACCAACATAAATTTTCATTAGACATTCTGTCAAGAAAACTGTCTTGTTGTACCTGATGTGAACTACAGGAGGTTTCCTAGAGATCAAAATGTGCTTTATAATATCCAGAAACAGAAAATGGCCCTCAGCAATAAACCTATCATGGAGCGGATACTCAAATACAGGTAATTCATGAACACACACTCTCCTTCTGAATAAAAGATTATAGAAATATCCTCTGCCATGATTTGTCTCCCTTAAAATCAAATTGAGAAAAAATATATGGGAAATACTGCATATTTATAAATTGATCACTCTTGTGGTTAATAAGACAAATATTTCCAATTAAAATAGCACTCACAAGTCATAAGAAGACTATTCCATACTGTGAGGTTTTCCTCATTATTTGCTGGCCAATACTGATTAATTATCATTTACTCATGGGCTTTCCTGATAGCTCAGTTGGTAAAGACTCTGCCTGCAATGCAAGAGACCCTGGTTTGATTTCTGGGTGGGAAAGATCTGTTTTGAGAAGGGCTAGGCTACCCACTCCAGTATTCCTGGGCTTCCCTTGTGCTCAGCTGGTAGAGAATCTGCCTGCAATGAGGGAGACCTGGGTTTGAACCCTGGGTTGGGAAGATCCCCTGGAGAAGGGAAAAGCTATCACTCCAATATTCTGGCCTGGAGAATTCCATGGACTGCATAGTCCATGGGATCGCCAAGAGTCTGACACAACCGCATGACTTTTACTTCACTTCACTTATGGAGACACAGAATTTCATATTAGTAATTTTTTTTACCACTGCTATTCACAGCAAGGTTCATTTCTTGAGTTCATTCTAAGACCATAACTGATGATGTGCAATTCCTATCAAATGCACATCCTTGGGGATCTCCATATTTTGCCAATTTCAGGCTTCCTGACCTGGCTTGCCTAAGCTAGATCTATCAATTTACCTTTACTATAAGAAGCCCGAGAATGGGCCCCAAAGCCTCTTGAATGTAGTTTTGCCTAAAAATGAGGCCAATAAGCATAGCCTATGCAGGGCCTCAACCAAAATTCACTGGTTGCAATTCAGTCTTTTTAGAACTGGGTGCATTTGAGACATGACATTGTGGTCACCACATACTCTCTGCTCTCCTAACGAGCTCCTCCGGGGATCCCACTGACTCACTTTCGGCACGTGAGGATTGAATTCCACAGCTCTATGAATGGCCTCTACCGCATTCATCTCTGCTGTGCTCAGCCCCCGCCGAGATGCAGCCTCAGGAGAGAATCTGAAAAGCAGAAAGACAAACACCATCCAGTTGGGACCACTGCTTGGGCATTAACCCGGAAAGGCATCCACACATCAAGGGCCCAGAAAAACCACAGCGAGCCAAAGGCATGAGCTCTCCAAACCTCCACTGCATCAGACCTCTGAGAGACCCTTCAGACAGAGGCCAACAAAAACCCCAGCAGAAGCAGAAAGCGTGCTTGTGTCTAATCGCGAAAGGAATTCAATTCAGCTGTCAAGTCTCTCTGTCTAAATAGCTAATCTAAGTTTTCTAGGAGGTACCTGCTTAGGTCAGGGGAGGGGGGAGGACTGACAAGGGTGGACAGTGTAGGAAAAAGAGAAAACTAGGTTACAGAAGAGCGCACTTGGTTAAAAACAGAACTGGGGAGAATTTTAAAGGAGGCTCCCAACCCCATGTCAGTGCTGCGATGGAGGGTTAAGTCTTGCAGCTTCAGCAGCAGGTGAGCCTGCTGGGGGCCGTTCCGGCAGGGGGCGTGTGCATGCCCAAACTGCGGGCAAGACACCTGCCCGAGTGAATGAAAAAAACCAGACCATGCAATCTCTTTCTCACCTCACACCCAGGGCTAACTCCAGAGCTGTGCTTGGCAGGCAGACACCACAGGGGAAGCTGTGACAACCCTGGCCCTGCCCTCCCAAGCTGGAGTCGCTGTGTAGGGAGAAAAGATGTTGCAGTAGGTACTGGCGATCTACAGGATAAAAAAGAATGAAAGAAAATTACTTCGGTCTTGAAGTGCACACACACTGAACAGCAAACCTGTCTGACACAGCAGAGGCTGTGTTCTTTTCCTGGTATCTGCTTTTCAATGCTCCAGAGGGAGTGGATTGGGACATGTAAGCATTTATGAACTCAAAACCAGTTAAGCCATCTGTTCTCTTTCACCTGCCAGTCACCTGGTTTATGGAAATTCTCTATGCCATGTCACCTGCCTGAATAAAAAGGGCCAAGGTCCCACTGAGATGGTGACTCAAGGTAAACGAACCCTGGGTGGGGAGTCAGTTTGGACTTGCTGAGATAAAGAATGGGGATGACCATCCCCTTTTACTGTATTACATCTGTTATGACCACTACCCCATCCTGGACTGCTGGAGGAAGAGGAATATGCAAAAAAAAAAAAAAAAATCAAAGAAGGCATTTTTGTGTAAGTCTCAAGCAGGCCTTTTGGTATCTGTGGTCTGGCAAAAAAAGAAAAAAAAAAGGAAAAAAGTCACCTCAGAGGCATGGAATTTCATACAAATCCCTCTTTAGGGACCCATTCACCATTACAAGTCCTGGGGATATACATTCCCTCCTTCTAGTAGTGAAAGGAAAGATCAGCAGGTTTTGGAAAATGCATGCTCATAAGCAGGGGTCTCATAGACTAAGGAAAACTTCCAGAGAAACCCTCAGACACAACACGTCTCCTTTGGTCCAGACCAACACCTAGTACCACCAGGTCACTATCCACTTACTTGTCAGAAACAGCTCTTGCTTTGAGCAAGGCAGCTGTGTAGCATATTGTTGCCGACTTTGGTAAGCTTATATCTGTCAGAGAGAAAAGAAAAGTAGGAGCCGTTATATGTTGGTAGAAACAAAGAGCAATAATTTTAAATATACCAGCATTTTAATCATATAAGCCTAATAAAGCATAAGTTAAGAATATATCAATCAATGTATGCAGTACACAGCTGTTTCTTATGTATCTGGGTGGTAGGTGACAAACAAGGTAATTCATTTCTCTGTAAGTAATTCATGTTTAAAGCCCACCACACTGTTTGGCAATCACCTTCTGTTTTAAAATATATATTTTCATATGTTGAGGTTAAGCAGAGAACAGCTATAAACACATAAAATAAATATTACATGAATAGCCTTGATATCAAGAAAGGCAAATAGGACCTCTTTGTTACTTATAAAATTTCTCAAGAGGTATATGAAATACTAAAGTGAAGAAAAAAATATTACCTGGAATTTTGAAAAAATATAAGCATTTTAGTGATAAATCAATTTATTTTAAAAACTATTTTTTTTAAATTTAAATCTGGTTTAAATTTAAACCAGATTTCCTTTGCATTAAGCTTCAAGAAATTTATATTCAGTTTTTTGTTAACCGTGAGAAGAAAAATCTTTATAAAGCTATATACATTTATATATACATATGAAATCTTTATAAAACTATACAATTTTTGTTCATTAAAAACCCATGACAAAGCCCCTTTCAAATTATGAAGCCTAATCTGTTGCCCAGAAAAACAGGTCCTTTTGGCTAATTTCAGATGGAGGGGTGAGGATGGGTACCAGATTCAATTTACAGGGAAAAAAGCACAGAGTGCAACTAAGAGTAGCTAAACTCAAAGAGGGTGGTCCCTTGATGGGGGGCAGATTTGTATTTAAATCATGATCTTATTTTGTATCAGAACTGTATTTCTTAAACACTCATAGTAATTTATACTATGACATAGAAATACTTTCTTAATTCAGACCAGGTAAAAATATGCCATTCTAAGGTGCTATAAAATTCACTCTAGGTTAGAAGAATTCTTAACACTTGGAATTCTCTTCGAGTTTCTTGTAGGGCTGTTTTCAACTTTAGAAGAATGACATTAAAGTAGGAATGAAAAGGAAAGTCCATAACTAAACAAAAGACAGCAGCAGGAGAAAATAATTTCATAAAAGAAAAACAATCTCTCATTCAATAACCAATATTTACCACCAACTCCAGCATGAAGAATTTCTCTTTCAAGGAAATTTCAATGACGTCGATAAAATACAAATAATCAGAGAAAATACCAATACAGAATTGAAAGGGTCAGATGTCTCTGAAATCCTGATCTCATAAGTTATATTCAAACAAAACTTCAGCACCGTAAGCACAGTATAAAATGTGCTTGTGACTAAGAAAAAAAAAAAGGTCAGACACTCATGGATTTGTCTTGTTGTTTTTCCAATATCTAATCATTTAACTACTTCCCAGTAGTGAAGGAAAAAGGATCCTGGTGAGCCACAGTCCCTGGGGCCGCAAAAAGTCAGACAGGACTTAGCAACTGAACAACAGTAGGGGAAATCAGTCCAGGAATCAATTGTCTTGTTTGCTAGGGTCCACTTATTGATTGTTATTAGAAGATAATAAAAAAAATTGCAGATAATACACATTCTACTTAAAAGTTTAAACCTTTTTTTCTTTTTTTAAGTTTAGACCTTTCACTTAAACATTATCCAAGCCCAGTTTTCAGGTTTCCCAGGTGGCGCTAGTGGTAAAGAGTGAAGTGAAAGTCGCTCAGTTGTGTCTGACTCTTTGTGACCCCATGGACTGTATAGTCCCTGGAATTCTTCAGGCCAGAATACTGGCGTGAGTAGCCTTTCCCGTCTCCAGGGAATCTTCCCAACCCAGGGATTGAACCCAGGTCTCCCTCATTGCAGGCGGACTCTTCCCAATCCAGGGATCGAACCCAGGTCTCTGCATTGCAGGTGGATTCTTTACCAGCTGAGCCACAAGGGGAGCCCAAGAACACTGGAGTGGGTAGCCTATCCCTTCTCCAGCGGATCTTCCAGACCCAGGAATCGAACCTGCGTCTCCCGCATTGCAGGTAGATTCTTTACCAGCTGACCTATGAGGGAAGCCCCGTAGCTTCCCTCATGAAGAACCCTCTTGCTAATGCACAAGACATAAGAGAAGTGGGCTCAATCCCTGGGTCAGTTGGGAATATCCCCTAGAGGAGGGCATGGAAACCCACTCCAGTATTCTTGCCTGAAGAATCCCATGGACAAAGGAACCTGGCAGGCTACATTTCATAGGGTCACAAAGAGTTGGACACGACTGAAGCGACTTAGCACTCACACAAGCCCTGTTTTCACCCTTCCTGAGTGATCTGTGTTCCTTCTGTGTCAATCTAGCACCTTTCTATGAAATGGGAACAAAGGATTAGTACTAGAAAGGAGCTGAAACTGAAAATAATGGTCAAAATTGTTTGAAGGTGGCAGCACAAGAGGGAGCCTCACTTGAAAAACTAAAGAAAACCTGTTGCTAAGGATTTAGCTTCTCAGGGGGAAGGATCAGGTTGTTTTGAAGCAAAGGAACACATTCACCTAGTTGGAAATGCAGAAACATATATATAACTGAGGTGTTCCAGCAGAGTACTAGAGATATCTAATCAAAGGCAATCTTTAACCCTTTCACTCCTATAGATAAGACATTCACAACTCTGCAACATTATAACTACCATGGTATATTTTCCCCATTTTAAAAATGTTTACCCTTATTCCTTCATTGTATGTGAAGATGTTTGTAGTATATGTGCATGATCATAATACTTAATAAAGAAAAATATATTTTAGTCAATATCAAATGGGAGAAGGAAAAATATAAATACCACAATTTTCCACTAGTGGCAAGTTTATTTCATTTGTTATCTCTTTAGTATACTATTTGCTTTCACTGTTAAACAATTCACTGTAGTAATTAGCCTCCAACTAATAAAAATAAATGAAAAAAAACAAAAAAAAACAAAAAAACAATTGACTGTAGCAAACAATTCTTACATAACTTACTTACATAGTTTCAATACTTTTCTTTTAATTCTGTCAAAGCAAGACATCTATTTGGTAATGGCAATCTGTCTCTAAGGAGGGATGAATCATTATAAAGAAACTGATCCTAAATATCCCTTCAAATAAAGCATCTTGTTCAAACAAGGCTTTCTTTTATAACATATTTTTGTAAATGACACTTATTTCTGACAATATAAACCAAATGCTTTAACATTGTACCTGCCCAGCAATTCTACATCTAAGACTTTATCTTAAGCGATGGTGTTATGACTGTGCATGAAGACTTAACCTTAAGGATGTTGATCATGACATTGTTCCTAATGGTATAGTTTATTTATTTTTTTTTTATTTTTTTTTTATTAATTAATATATAAAACTGCAAACAGCCTAAATGTCCAATCACAGGAGAAAGGCTAAGGTGCTACGCCATCCACAAGGTGCAATTCTGGGCAGTCATTAAGTTGTACAGTAGATAAGTATTTAATGAGCTGGGAAATTTTGCATTTTTGTGTACACATCAATAAGTAAAACAAGTTTACAAAAATTATGATTTCACATATTTTAAGAAAAGCATTTATATACAGAGAGATAAAAAGCCTGGAATTATACATATGAAATATTAAGTTTTATTTCTGGGTGCTGGGATTATAGACAATTTTCTCCTGCTTATCTGCATTTCCAAAGCTTCCTGTGATGTACATGTAATAAGTGAATTTTTAAAAGATAATGATGATGCTAAATAGAAGGATTCTTTTTACTAACTGCCTGAAGCAAGTTCATGGGTAAATACATTGGTAGAGCCAGACACAGAGCATAAACAGACAAAGGCAGAACTTACACAAAGTGCTGTCAGCCCTGCAGATCTAGAAAATGTATTTACATGCCTTTTAAAAAGCTAGTGTATTCTTTTGCAGTGTGCAATTGTTAACCATATTTTGATCTAATAACTGCCTAACATCTAAATCAGAGGCAGGAACTGCATGTTTTGGCACACTTTTTAAGAAAAACCATATACACTACCTTTAGGAGAAAGCTAATTACTATGGGCTGCTTGCCCCATAAGCACTGCCCTTTTCATTTTGTAGGGAAAATAAAAGATTGAGACTTGCTGGTTGCTGCCTATTATAATTTTGAAAATTATTATTTTGAAATAATTATAGTGTCATAGGGAGTTGTGAATATAGTACACAGTGTTCTGTGAAGCTTCCCTCAGCTTCCCTCAAATGGTAACAACTCACAAAACTGTATAATGATATAAAAAACCAAGAAACTGACACTGGTATAGTACTATTAAGTCAATTACAGACCTTATTCAGTTTTCACCATTTTTTACATACATTCCTGAGTTTGTGGTTCTATGCAATTTCATCCCAAGGCTAGATTCATCTAACCACCACTACTATCAAAACATACAAATTTCCCAAAGGAATTCTCTTATGTTGGCTCTTTATTTGTACACTTCTCACCCATACCTGTCCCCCAGTGACCACTAATCTGCTCTTTATCTCCATAAATTTGTCTGCCTACAATCATTTTATGCTTTTGCAATCAGGGAAATGAATATAATGGTAAGGGGAACAGAGTGACTAAGAGTAGTGATGAAAATGGTAGTATCAGAAGTTTAAAGCAGGGAATAACACCAAGTAAGATGCTTTCCTATACTTCTTATAATTTATTCAGAAATTTTATTTTGAGGAAGAGACTCGAAATTATTCTAAGTCCAATTTGTATGAAGAGACTCTAACTATGCAGTGCTTTTCTGTCTTTTTAAGTGGTGTGTAGCTACCACTATTGCCAGAAAGTCTCTTTAAGGATTAGAATCCAAGGAGGAAATGAAAGGAAATAATGAGACATCACATATTTCCATTATTCATTATAGAAAGAAGGAATGCTGATGTTTCTCACTTAAGCAAAGCTGAACTGCTGGCGTTAATTTTCCTTCCACTTCTTTGCTATCTTGTGCTTCATATAGATCCTTTTATGAAAAGGGAAGAACT